ACAAAATCTGCCATGATAATATACTTAAAATTACTGATGCATTGATATGGGAGTTGGCTATCATAGATGATGCAGATACTGATACTTACATGTTTATAAAATATATAAATTTTGTCTTCACCTATCTACATTAACGGGAGAAATGTAACATTTATTTCTATAGTGTCACAAAAATAGTAGAACAGTATAACATTTATTTATTTATTTATTTAAGAAAATAGCACAGAAGCATCAATAACTAAACATATCGATGTTTCAGTATTAATGTGTACACAATTTGCCTTTATTACAGCTTCCATTCTTTTAGGGAGACCTGCTTTCAGCTTTTCAAAGAAATCAAGAAATTAGCAGGGTTATTTTTCCATACCTTTAAAGTTCAGTCTTAGACGATGGCTGCACTTTCCATTTCTCAAAATCCAAATGATCCCAATCTCATTCAGTGGTGGTGATGTCTGGACACTGGTGTGGTCACTCTAGTTTTGAGAACACAGTGGAAGGATAGATGGAAAAGATAAAAAAGTGCCATTTATCTAATGGGGACAGTTTTGGTGGTCTGCCAGGTCTTACATGGTTGTTAGGAGTCACATTTGTCGATATCCTTTCACCATTTAATTCTACTTTTGGAAACTCCAGGTTTTTGAAACTCCTTTGATTTTCCCCTTATTTATAGAAGTGGATGTTGTCACTGTCCAAAAATGTTAGTTTTTCTGCATCATCTAAGCTCAATAGCTGTACATTGCCTGGAAATGTCATTTACGTTATCTAGACCAACTTACAATTTGATAATATTACACAGGAAGGGGAGGGTAGTGTTAGGAGTCTTGCCCAAGGACTCTTATTGGTATAGTGTAGGGTGCCTGCCCAGAGAACTGATTCCCAGTCTACAGCGTTGCAGTGTTACCCACTACACTATACTAACCAATTTATGATGAATGGACGACTAGAAATGCTATAGAATTGGAATAAAAACTCTTTGCATTAACTCACATAAAACGTTAAGAACATTTTTGCCCTCTATCTGTAAAGATACTTGTTTTTCTTTTGCCAACAACAATATAGTTTATGTAAATTTCTCCAAAAATTCTTAGTGGCTTTTTAATAAATAAATTAAAGGCAGTCTCTGACTGTTACACTGTTACACGGTATATATATATAATATATATATACACACTGCCTGGCCAAAAAAAAGGTCACACACTCTAATATTTTGTTGGACTGCCTTTAGCTTTGATTACGGCACGCATTCGATGTGGCATTGTTTCCACAAGCTTCTGCAATGTCACAACATTTATTTCTGTCCAGAGTTGCATTAAATTTTCCCCAAGATCTTGTATTGATGATGGGAGATTTGGACCACTGCGCAAAGTCTTCTCCAGCACATCCCAAAGATTCTCAATGGAGTTCAGGTCTGGACTCTGTGGTGGCCAGTCCATGTGTGAAAATGATGTCTCATGCTCCCTGAACCACTCTTTCACAATTTGAGCCTGATGAATCCTGGCATTGTCATCTTGGAATATGCCCGTGCCATCAAGGAAGAAAAAATCCATTGATGGAATAACCTGGTCGTTCAGTATATTCAGGTAGTCAGCTGACCTCATTCTTTGGGCAGGTAACGTTGTTGAACCTAGACCTGACCAACTGCAGCAACCCCAGATCATAGCACTGCCCCCACAGGCTTGTACGGTAGGCACTAGGCATGATGGGTGCATCACTTCAGCCGCCCCTGTTCTTACCCTGATGCGCCCATCACTCTGGAACAGGGTAAATCTGGACTCATCAGACCACGTGACCTTCTTCCATTGCTCCGGAGTCCAATCTTTATGCTCCCTAGCAAATTGAAGCCGTTTTTGCTGGTTAGCCTCACTGATAAGTGGTTTTCTTAAGGCTACACAGCTGTTTAGTCCCAATCCCTTGAGTTCCCTTCACATTGTGCGTGTGGAAATGCTCTTACTTTCACTATTAAACATATCCCTGAGTTCTACTGTTGTTTTTCTACGGTTTGATTTCACCAAACGTTTAAGTGATCGCCGATCACGATCATTCAAGATTTTTTTCCAACCACTTTCCTTCCTCAAAGATGATGTTTCCCCACTGTGCTTCCACTTTTTAATAATGCGTTGGACAGTTCTTAACCCGATTTTAGGAGTTTCGGCAATCTCCTTAGATGTTTTCTCTGCTTGATGCATGCCAATAATTTGACCCTTCTGAAACAGATTAACATCTTTTCCACGACCACAGGTTGTCTTTCGACATGGTTGTTTAACAAATGAGAAGCTACTCACTGTATCAGTTAGGGTTAAATAACTTGTTGCCAGCTGAAACATAATCACCCATGCAGTAATTATCCAATGAGAGGCTCTTACCTATTTGCTTAGTTAAATCCAGGTGATGACCTTTTTTATATGTATATATATATATATACACATGTACCTGCTTAAAAACTTCTTATTCTGATGCAGGTTTCATATAACAGTAACCAATATCACTTCAGACAGTTTACACCCAACTCTGACAGTGAAAATAATCATCAGTTTGAAGTATTACTACAAGTGATTTAGTTAATGATAGAGTACTTTATCAGCTGTGCACATGTGTGTAATTTGTAACTGGCTCTATAGCAGAGTGGAGAAGTCACTTGCTTGCTCTCAGTATGGGAGATTAATGATCAAGCCAGCTCACAGGAGCGACCCTCTGCTCTGGACTAATGTTCGACACTACATTCTCAACAATGTAACTATCACTGTAATATAATTTGATCTTTACTGCCAGCAGAGTCACTAATGATGTATTTGTCATAGACACTCATATTGCGATACTGATATAATATAATTATATATGCTTATTTTTGCAGCTCTAGTGACTAAGTAACAAACCCAACTCCGGCATTGAAGTTGTATGGTCTGAATACAAGACTAGAGAATGGAATACAAATAGTCCAGCTGACACATGGCAAAGAAAGATAAGACCTTTTAAAGACATAAGGAGTGAAGGGGTTTGGGGAGGCACTGAGAGAAAACAAGACAAGGGATTTTTGCAGTGCTTTTTATCAGATGATAAATATGAATATAAAGGATTATCCCTTAGTTTGTTGGTACTCTATTATTCTTGTTATGTTACAAGACACATCATACATTATGCTGCAAGACACAATACGATAAACAGGGCTTGCCTTCAAGCCAGAATTGGAATCAGATGAGCATGGGGGTTTATTTTTACCTTATAAATGAGCCCCCCAGTGCTGTATAGTCTGAAATCAATAGGTGCCTACAGTGTTTGACCTTATAAACATTTATAAATGCAAAATACTAGGACACATATTGGCTGTAACCATGCTGCTTTTTTTCTTGACACCAACTGGATTGATCCATTCAAGGCAACATCAAAGAAAACAACAAGGAGCTAATTATGCAGATTACCTATTGATGGTGAAGAATATATGATATACATAGATGTATACAATTTGGCACCACATTTGAAATACTTTCATTTTTCTCATTACAGTATAAACATCACATAACATTACAAGGACAAAGAACACATAACCAACAAAGATCTAATCAGAGGTTTATATATTCAGGCACTGTGTTTGCTGTTTCATATGAAGATGACCCTCATCCTCTTCTGACCACCTTTGTCATTAACACTAATTAACTCATTACATTACTACTTCAATATTGATGGCTCTTTCCAGACAGCCATATCTGACAGGCTGGAACTGCATTTATCTTTTTAACATTCAGCCTCCAGTGCTCTATATTGTCATGCTATCATCTAAAAATACAGTATAGAACCTGTTTTACAGCAACCATCACCTCCCTGTTGAAGCAACATGGCGGAGTATTAAAAGTCTTTTCAGATTTACTGCTGTGATAAGACATAAAATGCAAAGAGGCTTTGCAAGCACTTCAATTCATACTCAGCATCAGCGATAATTTACCAAAAAAATAAAATTCACAGTTTTTTCATACCCCAAATAGTAGTGGATCAGCCTGGATATATATATTTTTGAGGTTCACTATGAGGGTAATGTAGCTGGCAAGTAATGGAATACCTCATCATACAAACTACATCAATGTCAAATTGCAGTAATTGTGTTAATTGTAGTCACTTATTCAGTGCAAACATTCCTCTATGGCCCAAACCATCCAACATAGTTATTTGAACAGCAAAACATTTTAGTGTTTATGGTAGTTGTAGTCCATCGGGTATTTCCAACACTATAGAACAAGCCTAAATGCCTGTAAACAAAGTGCCTTGTAAAGTACAAACTGGCCACAATTTGTTTAGTTCGGGGCAGTAATACCAATCATAAAGCTACAATCTGGCATTTTACCTGCTGAAAAAAATTAGCCTAAAAATGCTCATGCTTACTGCCTTTGCTATCTTTAGCCTAGATCAGAATTAACTGAAGTTTAAGTTACGTTAAAATGTATAAAAGAATATTGTCTTAGTATCAAATAATAAACAATTTTGCTTCTCATTTTGATATCAGTGAAGTAATTGTACTCAATTCCTTCTGGTGTGGGTTCATGTGTGAGTTTGGCAGTTTTTATTATTTAGTTATTGCTGCAATATTTGAATTCTTGCAACTTTTCTAGCACCAGTTCTATCTGCTCAAAAAGTTTACATACAGCCTTGCAAACTGTAAGCATTAAGTAAGCTCATATAGACATTTTTATGTGGGTTCTGACACTGTATTACATATTATGAACTACAAAATGGGACAAAACTACATTGTACTACCAAAAGCTGTAGCAGTAGTCTTCCAGAGGCCTATCCTTATGTCCTTTATTATAGACAACAGTACCTTTTCACAGGTGTGATAATTTAGGTAAGCAGTTTGCACAATGAAAATTACTGAATAGAAGCTTCTGCTACTTGTTAGCTACATTAGCCTTGTACTTCAGTGTAAAATTAAAGAAGCAAACTTCAGACATCAAACATGTTTTAGCTGATCTGATACATTTGTTGCACTTTGATGTTTCATGGATGAACATTGCTCACACACAATCAGAGGAGAGTCCATAGCTGCCACAGGTCCATCCACAACTCAGGCCCAAGGCCCAGCCACAGCAGATCTCCCTGAAGGTCTTCCTCATCTCTTGGCTGCGGAAGGCATAAATGAGTGGGTCGATGACCGAGTTGCACATTATGAGAATGAGATACATGTTGAAGTGAGACATGAAGCAGATGCAGTAAGGGTTTCTGGGACAGGAGATCATGAGGATGAGGTGCAGGAAGAAGGGCGCCCAGCACACCACGAAAACGCCTAGAAGGATAGTGAGGGTCACAGCCCCCTTCATGTTGGCTGCCTGTGGGACGGGCCCGTTGCCAGGCAGGGCGGCAATTCGCTTCATGTGGAGCCTGGCCAGGAGGAACATGTGGACGTAGAGTGAAGCCATGAGTGCCAGCATGGCAAAGAACATGCTGATGAGGCAAATTAGGACTGTGGGATCTTCTGAGTAGACAATGAAGAGCACACCGGATGCCGTGCAGAAGGTCCAGATGGAAGCAATGACTGTGGCTGCCCGCTTCTGGGTCATAATGTTGTGGTAGCGAAGTCCATAAAAGATAGTGATGTAGCGGTCAATTGCTATGGCAAGCAAGCTCCAGATGGATGCCAAGAGGGAGCTGCAAATCATTGAGTCGAACACATTGTCCATGGTCTTGGCGACACCCCCGGAGATGCTCAGGTTGCCACCAGTGATAAGGGCCATGACCACTGTCTCTGTGGCATTGGAGACACTGACCAGCAGGTCGGCTGCCGCCAGGCTGCAGATGAAGAAGTACATGGGTGAATGGAAGTTCTTGTTCTTGATGATGGCTGCTATCACTAGAACGTTCTCCAACAGGCTGACCAGTCCTAGGATGAGGAAGACTTCGGTGGGGACCAGTAGTTGTTCGTAGCAACCCGAGGTGGATGCCCTCTCAGCCTTGCTTCCAGGCATTGCACCCAGGCTGTGGTTCCTGTGGGCATGGTGGAGCCCATGATGTTGTGAGATGTTCATCTTCAATTCTGTTTATTTGTATAACCTTTTTGAGAGGTTTTGTCCCAAGGAACCTTTATACAAATGGGCTTTCCAGACCCCAAGCTGAAGGGGGCAATAGTGGCAGGAAAAGGTCCCTAAGGGCACTGGAAAGGATCTTTAGGGGAACCAAGACTCAGAAAGGAGAATTTGTCCTCTTCTGGGGTTCATCAGTCAATGTAACTACAGTAGAAAGGACACAAATGACATTAACATTGATTAACAGATGGATTCAGTTCACCTGGGTAAAGATTGCTGAAATAAAATGATTTGTTTTAGAAGTCTATCACAACAACTGATGATAAATGGAGAACGTAATAGGTGGAGCCAAATAAAGCTAGTTCCAAATGGTCAAGAAGCCTGCAAGGAACTTAATCTAGTTAATGTGTACAGTGAGGGGAATAAGGTATTCAGACACCTTTGTTTTTATCATTTAATATACTTCACATTTACACACAACATTTCTACTAATAAACATGAACAAAAAAGAAAGATATGTTAAAAAAGATTGTAAAAAAATGAAAAAATTGGTAACACTTGAAGGGTGTCTACATAACACATTCATAACATCTTACATAAACACTTTATAACATGTTCATGACAGTTTCAATCGACATTCATAAAGCATACATGTTTTACATGACATTAATATGGACTACTGTGCCATTTTACTGACAGACAATTTTCAAAATAAAAGTTCTCATTTTTAATCTCGAAAAACACTATTATTTTCAGTGAAAAGCCTCATTTCAAAATAAAATGACCTTGCTTTACCCCTTCATTAGTTGCTTTGACACTTTTTGCCTATACTTTCAACTTCTTTTTAATTATTTATTTATTATTAAGCATTTTTATTTTAAAGTTTATTATTCTATCTCCATTTTACTTTCTGCCTTCTACATTTTATTGTTCCAAAGGGTTAATTCAACAGTCTATATATTGTTGAGGAAAATGTCATTTATCCTAAGTGAAGCCCTTTGGGGTTAAATTCTAGCACTGTTAGTGATGTTATTACTCACTTGTGGTACTGGAGAAGGCACAAGTATAATTGTGCATTGTTTGTCCCATTTAAATTGACAATTTTTGAGGCTAAATTTTGTACTGTTATCCCAAAGATAAATAAATTATGTTTTGGCTTTACCTCAAAAGTGATGGAAGTCAACCAGACTGAAGTGCATGGTATGTGGATCTTTAAATTGCAATGCAAAGTAGTCTACATTTATGTGACTATTCAGCATCTACAGGGAATTAATGAGTTTTATGGCTCTGTAAAATTTCATCATGCAGTAAGTCCCACCACCATAGTAAGATTCAGTCGAATGATTACAGCATATTAATGAGTAATTTACTGTGCATATAGTAAAGTGTCACGTAAAGCAACAAATAATTAAAAGTGAGATTATTTTTATTTTGCCAGAAATTAGGCGTTTTACTGAAAAAAACATGTTTTTTCAAAATAAAAAATGAGGACTTTTATCTTGAAAAATGTATCTCAGTAAAATGACGTAGTAGTCCATATTATTTTATCATGTAAAACATGTATAATTTTAAAATGTTGATTTAAATATTCACAAACATGTTATGAAGTGTTTATGTAAGTAAGTTGTTATGAATGTGTTATGTAGACGCCCTACGAGTAAAATGTTACCAAAAGAACTGATTGGAAGGCTGGAAAATATATTGAGACACTATTAAAATGATATAAATGTAAAGGTTACATTAAAGGTTCTAGACATTAACTCTGCAAAAAAAGTTCTTGAGCAGATCGCAGCTGGTGTTTTAATAAAAGACGTTGCTGTTGGTTGAGAAAATTTTAAGCAACAATTAGCAATCATGGTGAAGGTGAAGGAGCTTCTTAAAGTTCTCAGGGACAACATTATTAAACAACACACTAATGAGAAAAAGATACCGAGCCATTATGAAGACCTAATCCCTGTCAGTACAGTTAGTTCAATAATATGCCAGGAGAAAAGTCATGGAAACCATAACTAATCCTTGCACTTCCAATTCCAGCACCTGGACACGTTAACCACACAAGCTTTCACAGCATATTCACAAACTAATGACAACGAAGGTAAGAAAGAAGCCAACATTCACTCAAAAAGAGTTGCAGGATGACCTAAAAGCAGCAGGAACAACAATTACACATCAAACAATAAAGCAATAAGCGACAAGAGGCCACACTTCACTGCGATTTTATCATGGGGAAGGCTGTTCTTCCCTACATAGTGCACTATGAAGGAATTTTAATACTGGATATAGCTAAGAAATAGTCATTTGGGACTCAGCCACATCCATACTCAATAAATGATGCATTATTTGTCTGTGGCGGCTACAATTTCTAAACTTTCATAGCTGGCACACTATTTCGGGAGTATGGAGCCATTTGGATTTGATGCTACTTCTTACTAAAACACGAACATTTGAAGTGTGTAAGTCATTCAAATGACATTCTTTAGACTTTTTTTACTGCCATTTTACAGTGAATCATATCGGAAGTAAGTTAATTCAAGCCTGTGATATTAACGATGGAGTTGTTTAACATGTTTGCTACCTTTTAGCCTGTTAGCAAGCTGACCAGCCTAGTTCTAGTTAAGAAAATAAGCTATCAGCCACTCAGTTTAACACTGAGCATTTAGACAAAGCAGAACTCTTTCGGAACAATGAACTCTGGTCAGATGAAACAAAAGTGGAACTTTTTGGCAATAATTCAGCTCCTCGTGTTTGGAGACATATGGGTTGCAGGCAGTTTGTGAAATACCCCCTGGTATTCGGGGGGGTCCCACGTTTGCTGGCTTCTCCAGCGTTGAATGGCTGCTAACTCACTCGCCACAGTGGTGCTAATGGTAGCTTCAGTGGCAAAAACACGTTTGGTTGAACAATTGTTCTTTTGGAAGTGCTCTATACTGGTTTAGTAATGCACTCGTCCTCGCATTAACTGAGGTCTCACTCGTCTCCTCTTTTGTCTTCGGTTTCATAAATGAGAAACAATCCACTCTTTTCACCAAACTGTGAAACTGGGCAGGTTTTCAGATTCACAGATATGCTATGGCATATCGTAACATTTTGCAGAGGTACCAAGTGGGTGAACCAATGTGCTACAGTGCCGCCCTGACGCAGAGCAGTGCAGCATCACTAGTTAGTTGAGAATAACAAAGACAGAAACTCACAGATTGTGAGTGAAGCAGGCTAAACAACGACCTGAATTTCCCTGAATTTGTATTCGACCGCCTATTTTTCCCTAATGGTCTGCAGAACTTCAAAACAAGTTTAGACCCACAAGCACCCTCCAGGATGCCTGTGTTTCGCACCATGGTTGCATGTATTATCCTAAGAATACCAGACCCACAGTGAAGCATGAAGGTGGGAGCATCAGAATATGCAGTACTGGGCCATTACACATCATCAAAGGAAGCATGGATGGAGAGATGTACCAGGACATATAAGAGGAAAGTTTATCTAATTAGTCAAGAAACTGAATTAGGGGAAAAGATGAATGTTTAAAATTCCTAAACATACAGCTAAAGTGACTCAAGACCTGTGAGTCCATCAGTGTCACTTGAGGAATTGGAGATGATTTGCCAGGAGGAATGGGACTAAATTGAGGCACAATGCTGCAGAAAGCAAACTACTGCTTACCACAGACATCTCGAAGCAGCGATTGCCAATAACAGCCAATAACTTTTTCCTCTATCATTCTTTAAAAGTCATTGTTTATTCTTATAAAACACTTATTTCTTCAGAAAATCTTCGTATTAAATAAAACGGTGCTATGTATGTAAATCTGATGTGACTTTAAGCATGAGAAGTATATTATTTAGCAAAAACAAATGTCTGAATATTTACTGCACTCTTAAAAAAGTCCTTTGAAGGTCCTTTCGTAAAGACAATGGTTCTATATAGATCCATGAACACTCAGAGAAACAGTAGCATGCTCAACATGTTTTGTGCACAAAGAAATGGTTCTTCAGATTGATAGAGAGAATGTATTGCATGCACTTTTAAAAAAGATGGTTCTGCAAGGGTTCTTTAGTAAAGAGAATTGTTCCATATAGAAGCATGAACACTCAGAGAGTGTTTGTGTAATGAAAGGGATCTTAAGAATGTTGCTGTAAATGGTTCTATAGAGTACCTTTTGAAAAGGGTTCTTCTATTGTCACAAGCTTGACATCATAACAATAGAAGAACCCTTTTGGGTGCTATATAGAACCCTTTTCAAAAAGGTTCTATCTACATCACATTCTCATTCAATCTGAAGATGATGCGAAAACCCTTTAATGATGCAAAGCGTTCTTTGAATGTTCATGTTTCTACATAGAACCATTTTCATTACAAAAGGACCCTTAAAGAATCAACTTTTTTGAGAGTGTATGGTTCTAAATAGAACCCTTTTTTAAAAAAAAATTGCTATATAGCACCAAAAAGGGTTCTTCTATTGTTACAATGTCAAGCTTTCAACAACACATTCTCCATTGTCTTTACTAAAGAACCATCTTTTTTAAGAGTGTGCATGAGAGCATGCTGGGAAGCACCAAATAAAAGTGGTGGTCTAGAAACCTGTTGGGATCTGGCGGTCAAGCTGTGTAGCTAATTGTAAATCTTAATATGAGTTCAAAGGAAGTTGACCGTTATCTTTGCAGAGCATCCAGTTGCATCAAGAGGATGGCATTGATCTCCTCACCTCACTGTGTGCGTGTGGTCCCAGCACTCCTCAGCAAGCTAGCAGCTTCATCCCGTTGGTAGGGCAGTTAAGCCAAATCGTTTTTCCTTCACAATGAGAAAACAGGCTGTGCTCTGAATCCACATCTGATCTGCAGCGGTCACCACCACTGGCAAGTTTTCATCTTTTCAGTTTGCATCTTTTTATTTAAAGCTGTATCTTCCTTAAGCATGACAAAGTGACAGAGCAATGGAGCAACACGATGCAGTCAGAGGCTGAAGGAAGAAGTAGGAGCTGGTCCAAGTAGCGAGAATTAAAACAT